GTCCCTTGGGAGTGAATGTGATCCGACATAAACCCTTAGACTTGAATATGTCCTAAACTCATATGAGATATGTCCACATACACCTACCAGAATGACCCGAGCATAGAAGTAAACGATTAGGAGATCATAGTTGAGGATTTTTCCAGCTGGTTAACAGCAGTGTATCGTTATGTAGGCGACGTATTTACGTCATATTATATAGATAGATATACATATATATAAAAAAATATATATATATATATTGTTCTATTAGAAAGCCAGTAGCAAAGGTGATTATGATGTTAATACATTGTAAATAATTTCTCCCCTTACCATACCAAATATAAAAAAGGATATAACTTTATCTTTTTCATTAACACGGAATCCTTACATCTCATTTTGTTTATACGCGTCAGCTTTTCAATTGCACATCTCGCCCACACAATGGAAATGTGCACTCTTTCTATATTCCATTCAATATGGCTTGGATATTACGTCGATAAATATCTAGTTTGTTTTGTGTTCAATAAGTTTAAGAAAAACAACACGATTAAAACAAAAAGATATTCAAGACACAAAGGAAAGTAGCATTACATAGATATACTTGTAAGAGACTACGTCAGACAAGGTATTTGTAAGGAACTAACATAATGTACTTGTAGGTGACTAACAAAGTTTGACAAAGTTAAAATATACACTTTTTCTATTATATTATTTTAAAAAATTTAGTGTTATTCATCTTGTAATTAAAACTGTTTCAAAATGATACTCTTCAGGCTTAATAAGGAGCTGGATAATGTATAACAACATATTGAAAAGCTAAATCCCAGCGTGGTCACCTCATCAATCCCAGGGATTTGCTCAAAGTAACGGCGTGGATTGTATCGGATCAACATGTCATTTTTATTTATATTTGACATACCTGTCATTCAGCGAAAGCTCGGCAGAGATAAAATCAACGCGTTAACCCCCCCCCCCCCCCCCAAGCCTCCTATTTTCCCCACCAAACTTCCAATTGTAACACAGGAAACTTTCGTTTACAAAGAAATATTGCCACTGAGATATTTGAACACATAAGTATATAGATGGAATTATTTGTTGTTTTGTGGTTTACTTCGTCCGCTGCAGAAGGCCTTTGGTTGGAGAGTCCTTTTCATTGTCTTGTCTTTTTATTCAAGCTAAACATCTAAACGCAGGGACATATATGGTTTATATATTTTTTACATCCACAATCATTTTTTGTATATATTAAACTTTTTTTTAGACTTATTGGAGTAAAAAATGCGCATTTTGTATTTAATACTTTATAAATAATGTATTGTATTATAAATAATTATTTTTTTGTTAAAGCCTTCTGCTAAGAGTAAAATATCATTTTAACAATGATGCAATATTTAAAAAAAAAATCCATTTCACTTCTCAAGAAAAATAATTCATACTACTATACATCATTTATATAACATTTTCCTATTATATTAGAAAATTCGAAAATTATACATTAATAGAAATAACCACAGTTTCATGTCATTTCGTACATTTGACTTACCCTGGCAAGACATTGTCCCCATCAAGAGGAATAAGGGCGTACAAAATAAATTGAAAATCATTTTATTTTCTATGAATCTTGATCTCAGTATTAGAAATTCATCAGATAGTTCACGCAGGACTCGATTTATTCCCTGTTTTAACAGCACACTTCCACAATGACATGAACAGTCTAATGAAACAATATGATTTGACAGGAAATAATATATGCAGAATCCTCGGTTCTGATTGGTTAGTAATATGAACATTTGACGTCATGTTTAGCTCCATTCTTTCAAGATGCCAAGGACACATTCTAGATATGGGGTAACGTTATACACAATTTAGATAACAAGGTGGGCGGAAACATCACGAGGTGACAAATGTGCAACTACAACATTTCTGTGGACAAACAGGCGATGTTTAAAGTAGGCTTTTGTTAATTGTTTTGTCATGTCACGTGACGACCTAAACACGAACAATGGACATAACCAGATAAATGTAATAGCTGGAGATATTTGGTTTCGTGGGTCTTCAGACAGTAAGGCATTGTACGTTCATTATTTAAGTTTTTAAATGTTTAGGTCACGAAACAATTATTAAATTTAGAATCTAAAATTAAAGACTAACATTTTATCAATGTGGTTTTTTTTGTCTTTCTAAAATTGTGATTCTTTCTTTATTCCCTCGGTGTAAAATTAGAAATAAAAACCCAAATGTGTCTTGAGAAAATAATGTAACTGGCACGCTAAGGAATTGAAGCTTATCAAACAATAGAATGTACAAACAACTTTAACGTGTGACAACCCCAAACCAATCTCTTTGTTATCTCATGTCAACCATTCTTTAAACTAAGGCAGCTTGTCATTGTTATATCATGTCAAACATGGGCGCCCGCAGAAGGGGGGGGGGGCAAGGGGGCACTTGCTCCCCCCGGATTGATTGGATAAAAAAAATTTAGAAAAAAATAGACAAAAAATGTATTAAAGTATAGAGAAAATAAAGAGAATGTAACTAAGCTGATGTCCTGTCCGTTCGTGCGCCATACAAATACGCTACAATTAAAACTATATTAAAACATTATTAAAAATTTTTTGCCCCCCCCCCCCGGAAAGTTAATCGATTTTTTTTTCCCCCCCCCCCCGGAAATTATCTCCCTCCCCCCCCCCCCCCCCTAGAAAATTTTCTCGGGGCGCCCATGATGTCAACCATTCTTTAAACTGAGGCATGTTGTTATTAAATCCACCTCGGTGTTCAACGCTATGATGAGCATTATATTCTACAATTACCAACCTGAAATAGAGTAACTGAAATACACCCAAACGATAAGTGTGCTACAATTCAAAAGAAATAATATTTAAGCAAAAACAAAACAACGAAAAAAAAAATATTACTCAATAAGAACGATGTTACTGTTTTCACCTTTCGCTTTTATTGCTTTTAATTATTTTAACAATTATTATTATTATTATTATAAATGATAGCAATTAATTTCTTAAACGAAATCTCCAAGGAATGAATGTGGAATTATGACTACGTGCACAAATTTAGCGAAGATCTCATTGGCTGACTGTAACAATCGGCACAAGCCGTCTTGGGTTCATCTTAATATGGCGCAGAAACGTATCGGAAATGTTGTAAACTAACATAACAAGGGGACGGATCTGTCATGGGGTCAGTGGTGTAGCGAGGGTGTTTGGCGCCCGGGGACAAGATTCGCGCCCGGGGACAAAATCCATTTTTAACGAACCGTTTTCTTTTTTTCAACTCTCAAACCAATTATTTTCATCAATAAAATAATATCAAAGCACATTTTGGCGCCCCTAACTAGCTGGCGCCCTAGGACATTTGTCCCCCCTCCCCCAACCACGCTACGCCTCTGCATGGGGGTTACATAAACTGTAGAAATATTCTATTTCTGTAAACAAAACAAAACAAAAAAAACTAACAATTGTTAAACCATGAATTCCTAGCTTCGGTGGTTCTCATTGTGTGATCAGGGTCTCCATTCAATAAGCTTAAAATTAACATTAATCAATTTAGATAGTTAAACATCAAGAACGACGTAATAATTTTTTTAATTTATGAGCAAAATATCTGCCCATATAGTGGTATCAGTTTGAACATCAGCCCAAGTAGTGGTCTCATTTTGAACATCTGCCGAGGTAGTGGTATCAGTTTGAACATCAGCCCAGGTAGTGGTCTCATTTTAAACATCTGCCCAGGTAGTGGTATCAGTTTGAACATCTGCCCAGGTAGTGGTCTCATTTTGAACATCTGCCCAGGTAGTGGTATCAGTTTGAACATCTGTTGCAGGGAATTGTGAACCATACGTGCACATTCATGAGTGAAAATTGAACAGCTGCCACGTATTGTGTCCGTTGCGTATTCGGCAAATTTGATGGAATGAAAACTGGGAGGACGAAGTCTGTACGCCTCTAAGTTGGAGTCCCGCTAAATCGAGACAACTCGGAGGTGTCACATGGCGTTTGGCTCTAATCTTCGAGGCGTGCCAGACTAGAAGGGAGGTCCCCTCCCGAAGACAAAAATCCCGGCCACTTGCATGACTTTCAACGCAGCGGAAGTAACGCAATATCATGATTACTTGTTGCTGATAATGGCTATGAGGTCTGGGTGGTGGACAAAACCATTGCCCATAATTTTAGCTACGCGGCCCTGAGAAAGCCGCTTCTAGGCGACCGTTTCGTCCCTCCATTCGTCTCGACCGGACGACTCGACCGGACGACTCCCTGGTCGGTGGGGGTGGTAATGCAACACCTTCCCACCTGAGTGTAAGCAAAGCCGTCCAGACCCAAGGAGAGTTGACCGCGGACGCTTTAAACGCCGCGTCCTCAGTTGACCTGACGTCTCCTAGGCTAGGGGAGACCCGGTGTCTGGCTCGTGTGGAGGTGTGCCAGTGGGGGGGGGGGTTATTAAGAGCTAACGCTCCACGATCCACCGACCACTTGCATGACTTTCAACGCAGCGGAAGTAACTCAATATCATGATTACTTGTTGCCGATAATGTTGTCTCATCAAAATTGTTTGAAAATTTCAAGATATGTAAACAATTTTGAATCAGTCTAATAAATTTACACTTTTTTTCTGTAACCTGCTTTGTTTATATCACTAATAAAGAAATATAAAATATGAATTAATAGCCAACCCGTCTTCTATACTGGAAAATTAAGTGCATTTTTTCAAGATTTCTCTGCTTAATCCACGTTTAAGTCTGTAATTAATCTGTTATTTGTAATTATTTTTAAAATTAATATTTCACCCCCCTCCCCCCTCCTTTTCCCACTTTTTTCCACGGGTCCAAAAGAAAGTATTTTAAGCGCAAGTATTTTATTCTGAAAAGTGAATTGTATGTGTACCGAGATTGTTCGAAGTCGTAAAGTTCAATCAGGAGCTTATGTCAAACAAACAGACATACACATTATGACTTTAGATATATGTTTAGATATCATGACAAAATATTTAACAACAAATTTTTTAGTAGTGCACTATAATTTTATTGATTTATAGTCCAGTTAAGGAAACAAAATAAAAACAAAAGAATTAACGTTTTATTTTAACAAAAATCTGTTATCGTTTTTGCTGGAGTGTCCAGTTGTTACTTTTGTTGAGCCTGGCTGGCCTTTGATGCCACGTTGGTAAGAGTCTTAAGAAAATCGATGGCATCATTGACCTGGTCCAGACTTTCTTTTGATACCGGATCCTGGGTCACACCGATCCCAAGAAACAATAATATGATTATTTATAAGTAGAATGATTATAATATAATAATATATTATACACCTTGATGCACATGTAATGTTCCTATTGAATTATTCATTCCCCCCCCCTCCTCTTTAAGTTAAAGACGCTCACTAGTTAAAATGTAAAGCCCAAAATTACTATTTTTACTTTTTATTTCAATTTTTCTTACCGCTCTTTTAGCCGCCTCCAGAGATTTCAATTCCGCATCTCTTCCCAAAAGAAGATTTGATCCCAGTGGTACTATCCAATCTTTGTTATCATCCCACCAGGATCTTCTGACTCTGTGCCCGACATTGCGTTTGACACTTTGAAGAAACTGGAAGAAAATTTACTTATTTAAACACCAACAAATAAGAAACAACAATTAGATAAGTAACAAGTACAGCGTCTATTATATAATGCAGAGTTTATATAACTTGAGGCAAATTGAATGTTCTTATTGGATTTTTTTTTCTACTATATGTTATAGTAGTTCGCTGGTTATAATGTAAAGCTAGATATTTTTACTCTTCGTCAAAAAGTTTTTATTTAAATTTTGTTACCGCTCTCTTAGCTGTCTCCACAGATTTCGCTTCCCTTGAAGATGCATCTCTTCCCAAAAGAAGACTTGAACCCACTGGAACTATCCAATCCTTATTATCGTCCCACCAAGATCTTCTTACTCTCTGTCCGACATTACGCTTGGCACTTTTAAAAAACTGGAGAAAAAAAGTCACGTATTAAATAAAATTTAAAAAAAAAACACTCGTGAATTATAAAGAGATGACGATACCGTTTTATCAGATACTTACTTCATTGAGTGTATCAATCGATGCATCGATCTTTGAATCAACTTGGTTAACAAATTCTTCCACGTTGTCTGGCAAGTCTTCGCCGAGAGCCGAGAACTCGCCAAGACAGACGATCAGTAAAATAGCGAATGCCGTCACGAATTTTGCCATGGTTTGATTTTGAATGTTAATCAAATCGTTGATAGGTTCTGAAACACAGGGATCTGGTCTTTGGGGGCAAGAAATAAAACAATATAATTAAGAGGATCGAAATTTTAAAATAGAAGTACTAAATATACTTAAATAATTCAAACGTTTCACCTTCTAGTTTTATATTTAAAAAAAAAAATACAAATATTTATTTAAATTTAATAATAATTAAGGATAGATACATAGATTGAATTAAAGTTTTACACATTTTTGACGGTTGGCTTGAAGAGGAAAGGATTTTTGGACAGAAAAGCTCGGTTGGAAACTCACCTTTTCAAAACGGGCATTTTCAACATTGATATTTAACATAGATATGTCAGAGACATTTTGAAACATTGAAACTTTATCACAAGCAACTTGTGTTTCTAATGTAATGTAATATATAACTGGTGTGTACAAGGCGATACGTACTGCCTTTAAACACAATCATGTGATTGTAACATTTGTAAACACGGTGACATCTGGTAAGATTGTTGGGATGTCTCTAACCAAATTGTTGAGCACTAAAAGAATTTGCACCATAACACAATCTAATTGTCAAATTTTAAAAAAAAATTATATATACATGTATTTAGTTGGTGTTTCTAACTAGAGTCGTAGTTGCGTCAAACAAGAGAAATATATATCTCAATAACCAGCGCTAAGGTTTCCTGAAACAAGGGCCACATTGGCCACTAACAAGCGCCATAGTTGCCTGGAACAAAAGCCACATTGGCCACTAAATAGCGCCATATTTGCCTGGTAGAAAAGCCACATTGGCCATTAACAAGCGCCATAGTGGCCTGAAGCAAGAGACACGTTGGCCACTAACTAGTACCATAATGGCCTGAAACAAGAGATACGTTGGCCACTAACTAGCGCCATAGTGGCCTGAAACAAGAGTCACGTTGGCCACTAACTAGCGCCATAGTGGTCTGAAACAAGATCCACGTTGGCCACTAACTAGCGTCATAGTTGACTGTAACAAACGCCACATTGACCACTAACTAGAACCGTAGTTGACTGGAAAAGAGTCACATAGCCCACTAACTAGAGCTGTAGTTGACTGGAAAAGAGTCACATTGCCTACTAACTAGATCCTTAGATGACTGGAACAAGAGCCACATTGCCTAATAATTAAAGTTGTAGTTGACTGGAACAAGAACCACATTACCCACTAGCTAGAGCTGTAGTTTACTGGAAAAAGAGCCACTTTACTCACCGACTAGAGTTGTTGTTGACTGGAAAAATGGCCTAAATGCAAACTAACTAGAGCCATGGTTGACTGAAACAAGGGCCATATTTCCCACTAACTAGAGTCGTAGTTGATAGGAACAAAAGCCACATTGTCAACTAACTAGTGCTTTAGTTGCCTTGAACAAGAGCCAAATTGCCCACATTTCTAGAGATGTTGCACTGGAACAAGAGCCACATTTTCCACTAACACGTTGCCCACGTCTGTTAAATATAATGAAACTTACAACATCGTCCTGCTTACCTTCAAGACTTCTTTGTTGAGTGCTGTGCACAGCTCTGTTCATGCTACGAATCTCTGCGAGTTTTTATAGTTGAGACGTGCTATCGTGTATTTCATGGTTGGACGGTCACAAAAATCTTTTCTGTGTGATTTTTTAAAAAAATATTTCCAACTTTCGTTATCAGGGGTCCTCAAGTTTTTAACTTTTTTTTTTATTATATCACAAATTTTAAAGCTATTTTTCTGATATGAAAATGTGATGAAAGCTTCCATTTATTTATAATTTTTTTTAAAAAAGGTAATTATTGCAACAACAACAACAACAACAACAACACTATTTAATAATCAGAAGCTTTTGAATAAACGTGTTTGCATTATGTTTCATGTTTTAAATACATACAAGAAGTGAATAATGAACTCTTTATTTTTATTGATATATGTTAGGTATCCATAAATGTTTTGGAATTTTTACAATGCTTCAGTTGAATAATAAACCAAACTTCAAACTCTGTTTAGATGATTCAAATACATAACATTTTTGTGTTTGAATCTTATGCTAAATGAAATATTTAAGTTTTATACGGTATATAATTGAATCTATTTCTATATTTGATTTTTTTAAAACCTATAACAAACATTGATATTTTTTAACAATATTTATCATTTCATTTATAACTAAACGTTCGAATTCGTAGCCACCCAGATGTTGTCAGGCTTGGGTTATCGCCACTGCTCCACTCTCCACCTCTTTGTTCATCTCGCCATCTCCCCGTCTCTCATTTCACGAGGTGGTCAGATCGTGAATTACCTTTGGTGCAAACTTCCAATTTGGTTTCACGGGGAAAATACAGCTGTGATAATATAATCTCCGCATGGGATGAAAACATTGCGCGGTTTTGATGGAAGCTAGAAAAAAAAAATAAGCTTATGTTACGACATGTTCAGCCAGGCGAAGGGAATGAGTTGCAACGCCAGAATCAAACACTTGGGTGTCAGACTAAAAACGCGAACACCTGGGACGTTTTTTTTTTTTTTTTTTTTTTTTTTTTTTTTTTTTTTTTTTTTTTTTTTTTTTTTTTTTTTTTTTTGTTTTTTTTTTTTTTTTTTTTTTTTTTTTTTTTTTTTTTGGTCTTTTTTTTAAAAATTCTTTTTAGCACGTTTTGATAGAATGTTCCGAATTTTAAATTTTGTATATATTTGCTCCTACTTATTTACATATTTGAATATCTGTGTATTTACTTATACAACCAAAGTAGGATGGAAATTGGTAACAAGACCGCAAGAAAGAATGAGAAAGAAAAAAATAATAATTAAAAAATTGCTGTGTTAGATGATCTCAATATTAGAAGGCTAAACAAATGCAAACAAGCAGAAGATTCCTATGTCCCAATATTAAAAGGTCAAGTATTACAGGCTAACAAGCAGAAGAGTCCTATGTCTCAATATTAAAAGGTCAAGTATTACAGGCTAACAAGCAGAAGACTCCTATGTCCCAATATTAAAAGGTGAAGTATTACAGGCTAACAAGCAGAAGAGTCCTATGTCCCAATATTAAAAGGTGAAGTATTACAGGCTAACAAGCAGAAGAGTCCTATGTCTCAATCTGTCTCAATATTAAAAGCCCAAGCATTACAGACTAACAAGCAGAAGTGTTCTATGTAAGAGATGAAAGTTAAGCAGTTTATTTTTTAATGCGCGACTGACATTATTCTGTGGTGTGTAGGCTACTACCAAGGAGGTGCCCGAGCTTAAAGGACACTAAGAAATTCCAATGCAAAAACTGTATCGATTCCAACCAACCGAAATAAACATTGAGCCTAGTAATGTATGAAAATAGATCTACTGGTAAGAGATTATTTGATGAATTAATTTGTTGGTCCGGAAACTCTGATGTTTTGGTTCAAGAAATCAGCGCCACGATATTCACAACTGATGTGCTTTTAAAAAAAATCCGTTGAAATGGGATGAGATAGGGCTGGAAAACAATCACCTCGACAGGCACCTGGTCCAAACGTTTGCATTTTAGATTGTCTGTAGACATGAATCACAACATTAAATTCATGTACTGCCAGAAATTTTCCATTGCTGCTTAAAATTGCTTATTTGTGTATTGTGATCATGCAGCATTTGTGTTGAAGAAAAAAACATTTTTACAAATAATCCCATTACATTTACTTAAAATTAAAAGGAAATTGTGAATTAAAATTATTTTCCATTAAAAGTAAAATGTGAATTAATTTTTTTTCCATTAATTAAATATTTAAGTTTATAGTATTTTAAACAAATTATTTTAAATAATTAAAAATAAATAGGACCCTTTCAAAATTGATTATAAAAATCTGATTAAGCTCTCAAGTGAGGTGTCAATAAGAATGTGTTTAAAAGCGCAGGGGCCAAGATCGAGGCGAAAACTTGGGAATTAACTTTGACTGCCTGTCACAGCTCTATTAATAAAGGCTCTACACGAGATAAGCGCATGACGCAATTTACGGAGGATACTTTGAACGAATACTTGATGACAAAGATGAATGATACGACCTGCCGAACCATAGGTATAAACTTAGTGTTAGGCCAACTATTAGACTGTGCGTCATTCTGCCAAACCAGGGGTAATAACATGGTGTTAGGCCAACTATTAGACTGTGCGTCATTCTGCCAAACCAGGGGTATTAACTTGGTGTTAGGCCAACTATTAGACTGTGCGCCATTCTGCCAAACCAGGGGTATTAACTTGGTGTTAGGCCAACTATTAGACTGTGCGTCATTCTGCCAAACCAGGGGTATTAACATGGTGTTAGACCAACTATTAGACTGTGCGCCATTCTGCCAAACCAGGGGTATTAACATGGTGTTAGACAAACTATTAGACTGTGCGCCATTCTGCCAAACCAGGGGTATTAACTTGGTGTTAGACCAACTTTTAGACTGTGCGTCATTCTGCCAAACCAGGGGTATTAACTTGGTGTTAGACCAACTATTAGACTGTGCGCCATTTTACAAACAAGGGGTATTAACTTGGTGTTAGACCAACTTTTAGACTGTGCGATATTTTGAAAAAACAAGGGGTATTAACTTGGTGTTAGACCAACTATTAGACTGTGCGCCATTCTGCCAAACCAGGGGTATTAACATGGTGTTAGGCCAACTATTAGACTGTGCGCCATTCTGCCAAACCAGGGGTATTAACATGGTGTTAGACCAACTATTAGACTGTGCGCCATTCTGCCAAACCAGGGGTATTAACTTGGTGTTAGACCAACTATTAGACAGTGCGTCATTCTGCCAAACCAGGGGTATTAACATGGTGTTAGACCAACTATTAGACTGTGCGTCATTCTGCCAAACCAGGGGTATTAACTTGGTGTTAGGCTAACTATTAGACTGTGCGTCATTCTGCCAAACCAGGGGTAATAACATGGTGTTAGACCAACTATTAGACTGTGCGTCATTCTGCCAAACCAGGGGTATTAACTTGGTGTTAGACCAACTATTAGACTGTGCGCCATTCTGCCAAACCAGGGGTATTAACATGGTGTTAGACCAACTATTAGACTGTGCGCCATTCTGCCAAACCAGGGGTATTAACTTGGTGTTAGACCAACTATTAGACTGTGCGCCATTCTGCCAAACCAGGGGTATTAACTTGGTGTTAGACCAACTATTAGACTGTGCGCCATTCTGCCAAACCAGGGGTATTAACTTGGTGTTAGACCAACTATTAGACTGTGCGCCATTCTGCCAAACCAGGGGTATTAACTTGGTGTTAGACCAACTATTAGACTGTGCGCCATTCTGCCAAACCAGGGGTATTAACTTGGTGTTAGACCAACTATTAGACTGTGCGCCATTCTGCCAAACCAGGGGTATTAACTTGGTGTTAGACCAACTATTAGACTGTGCGCCATTCTGCCAAACCAGGGGTATTAACTTGGTGTTAGACCAACTATTAGACTGTGCGCCATTCTGCCAAACCAGGGGTATTAACTTGGTGTTAGACCAACTATTAGACTGTGCGCCATTCTGCCAAACCAGGGGTATTAACTTGGTGTTAGACCAACTATTAGACTGTGCGCCATTCTGCCAAACCAGGGGTATTAACTTGGTGTTAGACCAACTATTAGACTGTGCGCCATTCTGCCAAACCAGGGGTATTAACTTGGTGTTAGACCAACTATTAGACTGTGCGCCATTCTGCCAAACCAGGGGTATTAACTTGGTGTTAGACCAACTATTAGACTGTGCGCCATTCTGCCAAACCAGGGGTATTAACTTGGTGTTAGACCAACTATTAGACTGTGCGCCATTCTGCCAAACCAGGGGTATTAACTTGGTGTTAGACCAACTATTAGACTGTGCGCCATTCTGCCAAACCAGGGGTATTAACTTGGTGTTAGACCAACTATTAGACTGTGCGCCATTCTGCCAAACCAGGGGTATTAACTTGGTGTTAGACCAACTATTAGACTGTGCGCCATTCTGCCAAACCAGGGGTATTAACTTGGTGTTAGACCAACTATTAGACTGTGCGCCATTCTGCCAAACCAGGGGTATTAACTTGGTGTTAGACCAACTATTAGACTGTGCGTCATTCTGCCAAACCAGGGGTATTAACTTGGTGTTAGACCAACTATTAGACTGTGCGCCTTTCTGCCAAACCCGGGGTATTAACTTGGTGTTAGACCAACTATTAGACTGTGCGCCATTCTGCCAAACCAGGGGTATTAACTTGGTGTTAGGCCAACTATTAGACTGTGCGCCATTCTGCCAAACCAGGGGTATTAACATGGTGTTAGACCAACTATTAGACTGTGCGCCATTCTGCCAAACCAGGGGTATTAACTTGGTGTTAGACCAACTATTAGACTTTGTCGGTCTAAACACACGAACGTCTGGAACATTGGTGTTTTTTTTTTAAAAGTCAAACTACCACAAATGACATCCGATTAGCATTGAGTCAAAATGGACAAAGACACGCCTTTCGCACCCGGGTACCATTAGACTCAATGCTATTCGGATGTTTATTTTGGTAGTTTATTGAGTTAAACTGAAGAAGTGGGTTTACGAACATATAGCCCATTCAATTATCTTTCATTTAATGCCTCATTTTGTCCTACAAACCAAACAATAATGTTTTTAAAAGTTTTTTTAATCCCAACCTCTCACTTCTGGTACCCGGGTGCGAAATTCACAGCCTTGCAAAA